ATATATATATATAAAATGATGATAAAATTTGATTATTAACATTGTCCCGTAATTTTATTTATTAACAACATCGGTAAAATAACGAGAAAATGAAACAAAAAATGAAACTGTTCATATGCCGATGAATTTTATAATTATACAAATTTTTTTTTCATATATATATAATTCGAGTAAAAAGAATATTTTTATTTTGAAGATAAGAGAGCACGTTATAGTGACTAACGTTTCCTATCTACTGTACAATGTAAAATCGAAGTTCCTGTATAACTTATATCAAAAAAACATCATAATTTATTACGTGATCTTTTTCGAGCAATTCGAACAAAGATTGCAAAAATGCAACAAAACAAACAAATTTTATTAAATGCATCACTTAGGTTTCTGTGTATTTTTGTCATTTGTAATTTCTAACGATCTTATTATTTATGAGAATTATTGTCTCGCTTGAATTCCATCCACGTAAATGGTTAAAAAAATATACGAAATTCGTATTTTTTGTACAGAATTCTTCCTACAAAGAAGAGTAATTACACATAATACATACTGAAAATTTAGTAAATAATTATATTAAAATGTCCAGTGTTCTTGTAGATCAAGCTGTATTGTACAAAAAGAAAAAGAAAATGCCGCAAACGAATTTTATATTTTTATAATAAAAAAGATCTATGTGTTAAACACTTTTCTGAAAATAATAATTAGTATTTATTTATAAACGTCGACTAATTGTTATATAAAATAATTTTTTCTATATTTGTAAATATACACTTAGGTTCTGAATATTGTAACAAGTTATAAAAAAATTTGTGATTACATTGAAAAGTATTTTATCGATTTAATTTATTACAGAAACAACAAGTAAAAACACCTTGTAAATAGATATTTGAAATAAATAGTCAGGAAATATGTATTGTAATATGTAATACAGTATTACATTTTATTTTCTATATTAGAAAATATATGTTTGAAACAATTTGTTTCTTGTACAAGTACATATTGGATATAATTATAATAAATTTCTTTGTTTTAATAAATATAGGATGAAACTGATTATAATTAACTTGTTTATACAAATATATATAACAAATACTTCTAAAATAAATATATGAATGTCTTTTAATTCATTTCTACATTTCTATAAACCTGAATCTGCAGTATATGCTGATAAACATAAGTTTCTTATATCTTAACTAATTTATTTGATCTACAAGTCAAAAATTACTATTGATTGTCAAAAAGTACGAATATACATATAAATATCTCCTTGAAAAAAGAATAAAATATTTATTTTAAATGCATCATTTGAATATTTTAGTTTATCATTCGTTTTTGTTTAAAAAAAAATTATATAAAATTCCTTTTGTTCTTTTTTTTTATACTAACAAAATTAGTTCCATGTGTTTTCAGCTAATTATTCAACACCAATCGGACACTTCGTTATTTTATTTATGTAGCTTAACAAAAAAAAAAAATATTCTTTATCAGGCTAAAATTAACTGAAAGCAAAGTACAAATTATCTATACCTCTTAAAAAATGACCATAGGAAAAATCTGTGGAGGGATCATTGATATTTCAGTTACGCTTAAATAAAGGTATTGCCTGATACTGTTCAATTCATCAATAGTTCAATGATTTATCTTATATACATGTAACGAAACTGTATTTAACAGTATTTAATCTCGAGACTCCTTTTCATCCTTCCAAGCATGCTGAAGAATATTTTTAATTAAAAATATTAAAAAGAAACAATATAAAAAGAAAATTGAAGAATTTATCCATTATATGCGCAAATTCAAATTGCTACTAGCATCTATAGACTTTCATTCTCTTCTATTCACAGATATATATATAATTGTGTTTTTATTTTAGCCTTGGAAGAAAGACAGCTGGATTTTTAATTACCCTATTGGTAATGTCTTCATTTTAATTAGCGAGTATGATGCTATGGTGAATCCTGTTACAAGTTTAATATATGAAGGGGATGATATAAAAAATTAAAGAGGTACATACAGTGATTCATGCTTACAATTGCTTGAAGAAGAAAATAAACAAGATAAAGAATCAAACGATATAAATTGGAAAAAAACAATTTATTTATGTTGATAATGATAGGAACTAAGAGAATGAAAATTTATCCCACAAACTATTACTGCAAAGGAGATTGCGTAAAAAGAAGAAAAAGAAACGAAAATGCGCGTATTGTGTATGTATCAAAGAACTGTAATTTCCATTTTCACTGACTTGTATATAATCACACAGGATTGTTGCATTGATAAAAAAAAACAGAATGTTTTCTAAAAAACCATCACCTGAAAAGTAACAATTTTTTTATATAATGTGTGTGTAATGCACAGTATTAGATTATACATAAAATAATTCTACATTGAGCGACGCGTATACTAAGAAAATATGCAAATATATGTATATATAAATTTATATATATATATGTGTGTGTGTGTGTGTATGTGCAAAAAATGAAAGCGTGTTAAAAGTATAAAATTTGTTTAATAACGTCATTATATTTTTCCGTAACTTTCATTGTGGTACAAAATTTAAACAAAGATAAAACATGATAGTACAACCTAAGATTTCAGTGTCTAAATACGAAATTTTCTTATATAAAAGACTTCTCTATTTTTAACTTTTTCGTATATTCAACGTTAACATTTCTTTCTTTCAATATTTTTTTTCTCTTCTTTTTTTTTTTATTTTTGGGTCTGTCATGAAATTAATATTATTAATAAAAATATCCCTTTAACGAATTATGTAAATAAATTTGTATGATGTAAGAAGAATAAGTAAGCAGAGTGTTAAGTAAGTATTCAGAGTATTTATGTAATTGAGATATGTAACTATTTGCTCTATATTTTTATTGTATAGAATAAAAACACTTTTATTTTGAATAAAAATTGTTTGCTCATACTAAACACTCGTGCGCGCGCGCACACACACACAATTTATGTACACTTGTGTACAGTAGAAAGTTGGAAGATATAAATATCTTTCATCGAACACTGAAATCTTAATGTTGAATCTTTAAAAGATGAAAAAATAAAACGAATTTGTGTATATCAGAAAATAATAAAAATAGAATAGTACACTATAATCTTTGTCAGATTAACATGTTATTTTAATTTAGTAATAAGTAGATTTTTTTTTATATTCATTTGCCAAGAAAAACAGTTTATTTTGCATTACAAGTTCATAAAAAACTTAGTATATATTATATAATTATATATACAGTGAAGTGTCAACCATACATTTATGTAGTCTATTTTTTTTTCTATATCTTAAAAATAATTTCAACATATTTTATAGTTTTTTAGATTTAATCCATTTACATTACTTATCTGTGTGTTAATATTTCTTTTATTATATAATTATTAAGCGTTTGTTAATTTACAATACAATATGTGAAAACCTTAGAATGTCTTTTTGGGAATATTTATGAAAGAAAATTGTTATTGATCTTCTATGTGCTAACATTCTTAACTTTTTTTTTATCAATTTCATTAAAAAAAAGGTTGTTCCGAATTGTTAAATCAAATTGTCTTATAATTTGATTGTTAAATACACGCTTTAGAGATTATTTATTTCAGATGACTCACTTACTCATAGAAGATCAAATTACAACTAAGATTGTAACAAAATCAAAATGATGTATTCTATACAGAAGTATAGTTGATACTACACTGCTCATAGGTATCCAATTTTGTGATGCATTAAATGTTTTGTACAAAAGGATAGGACCGAACTAATTATAAACGTGTAATGATTCTTCATTTTCTGATCATGAATTGCGTGTTTTGCTACTAATTATAAAAATACTAGTTATAATAGAATTAAAGGATAAATTAAAACACATCTAAATATTGAATGGAAAACATTGAGAAAAAGAACTTGCAATTTTTATTCATCGACATCTATAATGTAAATTCTATATCTATATTCTTATTTTTATTATATCACAAATGGAAATTGACTTTTTTATTCTGTTGCCTATAACTAACGTGATAAATATATATCTATATTTAAAAAACCAACGATCGATTAAAAACATGATCCTGTCTTTGAGAAATACAATTTTAATCGAAATTATTTTATTTGACACAGATAAACTATCATTAAATATATAATAATGTTAAATTTGTTTGTTTCGAAATAAAATTTAGATCATTGTTTACATAATCTTATTACATACACATCCCTATATAAATATTCTGTATAAATTGTGCACAGTAACGCACCATTCAAGAAATTTATTTAAATACTAAAAAATACTAAAAAGTTTTCAGTATATTAACGAAGCATATGTTACAATATATTTAAACATTAATATTTTGAACAATTTGTTGAAAAGAGTAATACTTGAATAACATTTTTTTTATATAATGATACTGACATAATCTTTACTGCAAGTCCAATTAAATTATATTTACATTTATTTTATTATATTTATTTTTTAATGGCAGCATTTCCATAAAAATATTTTGATTCAAATTTTAGTATTAATATAGTTTTGTTAATATAGTTTAGTTGCAAGTTATTCTATGTACAAAAATTTGTTTAAAAATACTTTCATCATTTTCAGTTACAATTATCTATTCAAAAAAGAATTTTTAATAAATTTTTTGTTTTAATATACAAACATTTTTAAGTTTTTAAAGTACAACGAATATCAGAAATTTCGAATTATGAGCATCAGAAAAAGCGATGAATCCTTAAAACGTGTATAAAATTTTGTACATAATTATTATTTGTATTATTTCTATAATAATTAATAAGTTTAATTATAATATCAGTTACATTATATCACAAAACAGAATAAAATTCGTTACAAAATCATAAATTAATCACTCGTTTACTGTTTACTTATTAATAATATTGTTTTCTGTTTAATTATTTACCAATTAATGAAAAATTATATTCTTTAAATTATATATTATAGCTGATTTATTGCACTTAATTAATATCGCATTATCACTCAATATTTTATAAGTATTATAAATATTCGTTTATCTTACATTTTATATTTTTCAAATCGTTGTCAAATATTTGATATACTGCAATTTCTTGTTCTTCGCATTATTATACACACAGAATTAAAAGTTACTACGCAAACATTTTAAAATATTTTACAAACCTCGATATAATCTTATAAACGTTTGTCTGGAAAATTTTTTGTTAAGTTAAATCTTTTTATCGTAATATATCTATTTTTAACTTTTAAAATAATACTTTAGTTTTCCCTTATCCTATTCTTAAAATGCGAAAGGAAATATTGAAGCCGTCTCTATGGCAAAGATGGTAACGACGGTAAAGGCGGAGCAGGTGGTGGTAATATTTCACTTTCTGCAGAAGTATCTGTTTGCTTGTGCCAATCGATGTATAAATGTCTTAAACTTTCAATACCTGCTACTGTCATTCCGCGACAATAACGTGTATCCAAATAATATAGACTTTTACAGTACAATTTAATAGAATCGAGAGTGTGATCTGTGAGTTGTGAACATCCCTATAAGGAGAAAACACCAACGTAAACTATGAAGAAAATAGAAGCTAATTTTTAATTATAAAAATACCTGTATGAAAAGTCGTTTCAATCTATGCAATCTTTGTGCAAGATAAGATACGCCGATATCAGATATATTATAACAGCGGTTTAAATTTAAATATTCGATTGCTGGATTATTTTTTGATAAATAATCCAATCCGATATGTGTAATCTATAACAAAAGATTAACAATACAAATAAAAAATTATAAATACAAATAATTTTAATATACTGTGTAAACGATTTATACCTACCTGTTGGCACTGACTTAAATTTAAGACTTTTAACTCTGGAAAGGCGAATGCATGTTTTAAACTGACATCAGTAATTTTATTACATCCAGAAAGATCAAGTTCTTGGAGACATTTAAGCCTGATTAAAGAATATCCGGAAAACGAATTTAAAGGCTTTGATACGTTTTCGCAAAGTTGCATTATTTCTCGTTTTCGATCAGCGTCGCGTACTATTTCTTCTTCGGCCTTTGAGCGTAAACTGATTCTTAATCTGGATTCTGTAAATTCTGGTTCATGTACAACTTGTATTTTTTCGACATGCTCATGGTTACCAGTACCCATACCCGTTAAGCCAGCATCACTGACCTCATCACAATGGCTTATTTTTAATGTTTTCAAATGTACAAGCTCCTTGAATATCATCTATAAAAGATAAACTTACTTTTATATGCATGAGCATCATCGCTGGTACAAAAATTTATGATTTACAGCGACTCTCTTAAGTTTTAGTAATTCCTGAAAGTTCAGGAAAATGATCAGCATAAAATCTATCAAAAATTATTATTTGTCTGTTTCTAATGAATAATATCCTTTTCACAGATCTCCTATGGTATTAAATTATAAAATAACGGTAATAAAATGATTTCCGCATACCTGTATTGTTTTATCGGTAACGCCATTAAAACAGTAACTAAGCTCAAGCTGCTTTAAATTTGGGAAAGATTTAGATATACATTCAACTGATTCTTCATGAAGATTCAATGCATTTGCTGATAATATTCGCATGTTTTCTTTTCTTATCCTTTCTTCTGTGACATAATTCTTTTGTGAAGAAGTAAAACTGATATTTTCATCAATATTTTGCTCTATGTTATCATCTATTATATTATAACTAGAGCAAAGACCATGAGTAATAGAATCACCAGTAAGTCGTTCATCTTTTGAAATGTCGAGTTCTTTTAAATGTTTTAATAACTGAATATACTTTATACCAATATCGGTTATTGCACGACATTGTTTTATTCTAAGTATCTCCAACTTTGTCAAATTTTTACAAATGCAGAATAAACTGGCGTCTGTAATACGCACGCAAAAACTAATATCAAGGACTTTCAAACAAGTTTGATAATCTGTCAGACCTTTGATGCCTTCTATAGTTAACTGATAACATCCTTGTAATATCAAAGATTCCAATCTCAGATCTTGTAAAGCTGATAGAGTAGCTAAAGCAGTTCCATCGATTAAAGTATAACTAAAGTTCAAGTGCTTCAGATTATGTGCTTGTTGTCTGAGATACTGTAATGTATTCAAGAAAGTCAGTACTGATTTTGAAGCATCTGAAAAGTCATATACTTGTGGATAAAATTTCTTGTATAGTCCATAATGAAAGGATATTTGACAACCCATGAGACTTAGAGATTCCAAGTTTGGGCATGTGGCAATTAATCTGTTAAAAAGTGCATCGCTTAAGAAACGATTATATCCAAGGTCCAATTCATGAACATTTTTAAACGTTTCTGAAAGCTCTTTTATATCATTTTGATCTTCTAGAAGTCTGCCAGACATTAGGCACTCTCTGCAAGCATTAACACGCAATACTTTTAAAGATTTACAGCATTTAAAAATTTCTACTAATGTTTTTTCACTTAAATCACAACACAACTGAAAATTAATATATAGTATTAAGAAAATACTCATAGAATATTCTCATTTTAATAAAATAATATTTCACATTTAATTAAAATAATTTTACCAATGCTAAACTTTTCATGTGAGGTCCATATTGATCCCAAACTGGCATATTCCTCTTTAATTCTACTTCTCTAAAAACAAAGTGATAAAATGGTCTTGTAGAATGCTGTAACAATTCTATCACTTCATTCAAATTGTCTGCACGTGGTCGACCAAGTACCAATTCTATTTGATCCGCAAACTTCATAGCAAGAGAGGCTTCATGCCATGTTTTATTAATTAATCCTGCTGCCAACCTGTCAGATGTAGACAGATATGATAATACGTGTATAATTACCTAAAATTAAAATGGATCTAATCAATAAATTTACATTACCTATATTGAACAGAATACAAAATTCAAGAATCACTACTTTTTAAAAAAGTAAAAAGTAGCTTATCACACTGTAAATTTATTGTTTCTTAATTGTCAAAAAGAAAAAGTATAAAACCGTTTAAATAAATTAAACTTTTTGCATGAATTGTTAATGTTTTAGTTAGGTTATCATAAACATTTATTTTGTACAAACAGTCATTATGTAAAGAAGTAAATGTAAATGATGTAACAACAAACGAACAATTAAGTTAAATGTGAAAAATAATAGGAAACTTACATCTACAGGCAATTGGAAATTACCAATTTCTGACATGTTTTTCATATGAATTTTGCTGTCACACACTATCGCCATAACAAAAACCGTTAAAATAATATATCAAAATGTCTTGTTCTGACGAATGCTATACCTATCCGGAAATCCGGATTTTAATTTGTTATTATTTGTTAAATATCATGTGCAACAACCGAACCATTGCTCAGATGTGTTACAGCTGATTCAACGATAGTCACGTGCTTTTCTAAAATCACGCCATAGATATAACACTCCACCAGACATCTCTCATAATATTTATTACAGAAATTTTCATGATTTTACTTATCATCATTGTACTACTTCTGCGTTGAGTCTAGATATTGAT